GGCGGTCAACATGGTTTAGGCTCCCGTAATGATAACGGTGAGCGGTTACTTCATTTGTGTGAGGATGCTCGCTTATTTCTTGCGAGCACTAATTTCAGACACAGCACCCGCCGGAGGGTGACTTGGTGCCCACCAGCCTCGAACCAGCTATGGACGTAAATCGATCACATTGCTATCAGTTGCCGCTGGAGAGGCTGCGTCCAGAACTGTCGCTCGATTTGGAGCACAGGTGTTGACACCGATCATGCACTTGTATGTGCTGACACGCGGATGCGCTTTGGCGGACGCCCTCGAGGATGTTGTGAGCGCATTGACACCGGCAGACTGGTGAAGCCAGCTGTTCTGAACGCCTATCAAATTACACTGTCATCCGAGTTGGATAAACGCTCAATGGATGCAATTGAAGCTCACTGGTCTCATTTGCAACAGGCCTTACTAGCAGTAGGCAAATCCTCATGTGGTGTGTCTAATCGCTAACATGAACATTAGGTCTCTTCACAGTCTATGGAACTTATGGATGCTCGCCGGCATATTCCGGCTGGAAGCTAACAAAATGAAACTCGCAAAGAGCTCCGGGCGAAACTCCGTGCTAGCCTGAAGAGAGACCGCGAATCCTGGTGGTCTCGTCGTGCAACAGAGATGGAAATGGCCGCTGCCCTTGGTAACCATCGTGAGTTATTCCGTCTTATACAGGAAACGGGCAGCAGGAGACCTGGTGTTAGTGAAACTATACGTGACGAGAGTGGACAGCCTATCCACAATTTATCAAAACGCCTGGAAAGTTGGGCTGAGCACTTTGAACGGCAATTTAATCGGTCGGAATTGTTAGATTTCTCGCCGACCAGTGATCGCCCCGCTCCCTGGGCTGTCCCTTTTGATCCACGCTCTCGCTCAGAAGTCGAACATGAGATCGGATTGTTGAAGTTGAACAAAGCCGCGGGATCTGATGACCTTCCTCCAGCCCTCTTCAAATTCGGGGGACCTGCTCTTGTGGATGATTTACACGAGTTACTAGTGAGACTGTGGGAGCAGGAGACTGTCCCAACCGATTGGAGCCGCTCCATCATAGTCCCAATTTTCAAGGGAGGCTCACGGTCGGAATGCGGCAGCCATAGAGGAATCAGTCTGATCTCCATCGCCTCCAAATTGCTTGTCTCTGTCATCCTTCACAGACTGACTGGCACTCGTTAAAGCCAGATTCGCGAAGAGCAAGCTGGATTTCGTCGAGGTCGTGGCTGCATTGACCACATCTTCACTTTGCGTCAGTTGTTGGAGCACCGTCACATATATTGGCGGCCCACCGTTGTCGTGTTCCTCGATATCAAAGGTGCATTCGATTCGGTGGATAGACATGCACTTTGGGACTGTCTACTCAGGAAAGGTGTACCTGAGAAATATGTGAATATTATCCGAGCATTATATGCGCGTAGCTCGGGCAGAGTGAGGGCTTACGGCAAGTTGTCGTCGCCCTTTAATATCTCCAGCGGCGTGAGACAAGGATGCCCGCTGTCACCTTTCCTCTTCAACTTCGCTGTTGACGAAGTCATGGAAATCGCGTTTACAGGACACGACTTAGAAGGTGTGGAGCTACTCCCAGGAGAACGACTTCTTGACTTAGAGTATGCTGATGATATTGCCCTGATCTGTGATAGCTCACAAACGTGCCAAGCGGCACTGGACAGATTAGCACTAGCTGTCCGTCACTTCGGGCTTTGCTTCGCACCCTCGAAGTACAAAGCGTTTCTCCAAGATTGGTCTGGACCGCCTCCTACGCTGACCCTTGGTGGGGATCAGCTAGAAGTCGTTCAAACATTCAACTACCTGGGAAGTTGTATCAGCGCCCGTGGGATTGAAGATGAAATCACGAATCGTATAGCAAAAGCTCGGGGAGCTTTTGTTAACCTTCGCCACTTATGGCGCCGGCGCGACATCACTCTTGCCCTGAAGGGTAGGATGTACAATGCAGCGGTACGTTCGACCCTACTTTACGGTTGTGAAACCTGGCCGCTTAAAGCAGCGGACCTGAAGAGGCTAGTTACGTTCGATCACCGCTGCCTTCGTAATTTAGCTCACATTTGGTGGGAGCACCGCGTGAGCAACGAGCGTGTTCGACGTCTTGTTTATGGCACAGGAAAAGGAACTGAACCACTCAGCACCGTTATTTCACGCATCAGGCTCCGATGGCTCGGCCACGTGTTACGCATGCCAGCCCACCAACTCCCGCGACGTGTATTGTTTGCGCGCCGGGGGTTTGGATGGAAGAAGAGGAGGGGTGGCCAAGCGATGACTTTGTTTAGAGGAATGAAGGCCCTCACTTCTGCGCTGGCCTCGGTTAGAGTGTCTCGGCTCCCTGGTCGGGGGTCGAAAGACGATGAACAAGTTTGGTTGGACACACTTGCTGATATGGCTAGGAGCCGACCTTAGTGGCGTTCGTGCTGTGAGTTTATTTGTCCCACCCCATCCCTCAAAATCCCCCTCTAACCACGATCTCATTATTTAGCCTTATATAATTTTGCATAGTAATTTTTTTGATGCAAAGTAGCCGACTGGTAGCTTACCGGAACGATGCCCATCCGTTACCGGTAGCTCAGCCAGCTTGGACCGGTCGCTTTTTTTCTCCTTTTTTTCTATGTATTGCGGCACAGTAGCTGAGGTGTTCCCCACCTCTAGCTAACGTGTATGATGATGACGATGATGAGGGGACTGGACGACCCTCGCAGTATCAATAGTTCACGCGTGACCGGTGGTTGTTACGCGGCAGCGAACCGACCGTACTGCGTACTGGCGTAATGCCGAGAAGATTATGCCGTCCCAAAGCATCCATTCGTTCAGGGCACTGGGGCTCGTCTCCTCCAGTGACAATGAACGGTCTTTTGGAGCCAGCGCCTGGGATCTCGGCACCGGTAGAGCAGGTATGTCGTTAACGTTATGATAGAGCGCGACTAGACCTGATACATCACCTAGGTATGACCGTAAGGTGTATTTCGGTTAGTAACGTGTTGGGCCACATGTGTATCTTATTCTCGCTAAAGTTTCGAATAAACTAGTAGTGTGTTAATGAACTGTTGTAAAGCTGCTTTCGTACTGTTGCACTGCTGCTATTCTGCGCCTGCGAGACTACGACCGCCTGATTGCTCAGTGACGCGCCCAACCAACCGACAGGATACAGACGGCCAATACTGGGTAAACAGGGAATCTATTCTACACGATAGGTTAGTTCTATTTATTGGTGAACGAAACATACTAATTATGGAAGCGTTTAGCTCTCAGCCAACGTGAGTTAGTTCCGTCCCACGGGTTTTCTATATTTGGCAGAATGGTTCACCTCCGTTGACTCGGGCTAGTACTTGCTGGCCAATCGGTTTGCAGCCGATTCCCAAATTTGGCAAAACAGTCGAATGTCGTTCCATACTCGTGCTGGTGACCTTCGCATGCAGCAGACAGCTCACGTGCTCCTAGGTACGCCGGTGCGCGACCTCGTATCTGGACATTGGCTCCGCTTACCTCTATTACAAACTTATGCTAGTCAACAAACCAAATACAACGTGGAGCGAATGTCTTGACGACAACTAAGTTGGCACTGACACTGTGGTGTGCGCATGAATTCGCCGTGGCTGCACCAGAAGCTTCACTTGGGAAATATGCCAAATTCCTCATGAGTCGTTCAGGAACACAGTGGGGGTTGTTCAGACGTGCCACCTCTGTTTCTGTCATTACAACTGTTATTTGGGCAGCTTAAATGAAACACTCCATCGCGATGTATATCCGGTGAAAGACCTCCGAGGGAGCAACCGAGTGATGTGTTTCGGTCAGATACAGGACTACCGCAGCGTTGCAAGCTTTCTCAACTCATGACCGACCTTCATTGTATGTTATTCTCCGACATAGTTGTAGTATGAAAAGCAAGTGCGGTTCGCCCTAGCACAATCACAATGTGCATGCCCAGACAAGTTGGAGGTCACCGGCCCGACAGTGGTCAGCTGTCACTCGCGCAGTTCGTGCGCGGCGACACACAGCATGCATCTGTCATAGAACAGAGTTACGGTCATGCTTGCCTATCCACTCGGGTTTATGTCAGCTGTGTAGTAACTGATGAGGAAAACGTTGGAAGTGTGTTTGTTTGAAACATGAAGTGCTCATGGGCCACACACGGACTACTTACTATCTCAAATGGTGGTCACAGCTGGCGCACGTGCACATGCAATGACCTCTGCGACTTGGTTTCCAACCCCTTCCCTCCCGAAGTTGCAATCATGGCGCCCAGACCCAATCCGGCGCATAGAGATGGAATTCGTGACCAAATCTCGACGCATTAATGAAATATGCAAAATAGCAACTGAAGTTGGGAAGTGGAAAACAAAGGTGGTGGAGGAACAGCTAGGGGCTTGTCAAATCGGCTTTTTTTAGCTAAATGGAGAAGCACGACGTATGCAACAGCAACACAACGCTGAGCGCTGCCACTCAGCGTACGAGCTCACAGCGCGCTGTGGGTGGATGTGTCGAGCACAAAGGATCTTATGTGGTTCGCGGTTACTCAGGTGAGTGATGTCAGATCCGCCTTAAAGAAAAAGTATCCCCTCCAACGGACATCAGAAAATTCCCGAAAGCTGTGATACACCTAGCTTCATACACGCTCCTGACTCCTCCGTATCGCACAGGATGGATAGCGATGGGATTGAGGCCTTGGTTCTCGCAAGTTGTTATAGCTTTGAACCAGCCATCTCCTAGGCATCACTCACCACGCCCCTATACATCATCAAAACCGATACAAGGAGCCCAATAAGTCTCCTTTTTGAGAGCGCACAGTTTGGTGATCTGTGGAGATTGCGTACGGTGTTTTAAGAGAGTATCAAACATAGCAAGAGAGCAATCCTTGGCGTACAAACAGGACACGGCTTATTGTGGAACAGGAGGTGCACAGTATGTGTATGGCGGACTTTCAAACAAGCAAATGGTGCTCGATTTGTTCATTCATTACTAAGGTACTGAAAGTCACTCACAAGTTATATAATTTAATATCCGGTGTCCAAATTTGACTTGGAAATACCCGCACTGTTTCTATTCCGTCGTACTGACTGGCGTTCCATCGAAGTAATGCATCGTTCCAACGCTGTAGTAAAAGGGATATAAGTTAATACGGTGAAGTGGGTTTCAGCGTACTCGACCAGCTAATGTAGTGATAAACACCTGTTAGATACATGTGGGTAAAGTTGGGGTCTGATAAGCTCTTTGGTTCTTGTCCCAAGACTGCAGTTGCAACGGCTATAGTCTGCGGATGGCTAATAGACCAGGCAAACAGAACGGAAGGGAAGGCAACGGACGGACAATCAACCAAGCACAGACTATGTGTTTATAAGTGGGATAACCAGTTCACTGTAATTCCATGTGTTAGACAAAGTATCTCCTCGTTAGTTCGGTCCGGTGCAAGTGAGGTACACATAGCGTTCTAAACCAGAGGAAATGGATTGTCCCACGCATTGGCATGCATGAAGCAAGCTTAGAACAATAGAAATGACCTGGTGATCAAAGGTGGGGAACATAAAGAATTAGGGAAAGGGAACAACGACTGGACATCGAAATGAAATGGGGATAATGGACGGCTAATGAATGTCCGGAATTCTTTCTAGCTCTCAGACGGATACACACTAACCGCAGAGCAGCCAAAGCATTCCTCAGATTTGAGCAGGTTTGAAAGAACGAAGGCCACAATGCTAACTGCTTCACCTTTTACCATTTTCTCGTGGCTCCATGTGTTCTACTGGACGAAGCAATGTGACCTAATTGCACATGTTAATTTGTCGCTAAAGTTTTCAATTTCTTTTAATTAAGCAACTGACTATTACAATCGCGTAGTGCCAATAAGGTAGAAAAGAAGCGCGTTCATGCAAGATCTCTCAATATCTGAGCCGTACTTGACTCGGACCGCTTGCAACTTCATGCCCGTCTAGACAGCCATAGTATTCAGACTGACTCCATCCTTCCTTCACTTTGGGTCCACTAAGACTAAAAAGAATCAACTGTACTGGTCATTCGCACAATGATTCACTACGATCAGAGGGTAAAGATATCTGTCATGACTCGTCTTGTGCAGTAGTTGGGGCTTGAGCATTGGTGGGTGAGCTCTGTGTGAAAGCCTCTACACGCTCTACCCTGACTAAGCAAACGCTACGCTGCCATCGAGTCACGTAGGTATGCCGTGTTTAGGATACTCCAAAATAGTTCCTTTTGCTAACTTATGGGGAATAGTGTTTGATAAGCTTCACTTAATAGTCGGTTTGCATTAACATCAGCATAATGCACCCGGTCAGCCAATCGTTGGGTTGTGAGATCGTACAGGTGGTCGGCGGTGCCACAGTGTTTATCCTAGCTCCCACCTTAGAGTCCCTATTCGAATACAGCGCGCATCGAATCAACTTACTATGCCCCGATGAACAAGCTCATGTTGTGTAAATATGTTTTGGCCCACGCAAAACATCGGTAGGCAATAACCTGAGCCTGGCGTATATCACTCGTGGTGTGCCCTGTGTGTTTCGCATTCTGAGGAACATTCGACATCCGTTTTGGTGTATTTAAGGGCTCAACTTACTTTCTGTACATGTTCGAAGTAAAGAGGGTGACTGAACTAACTGAAACGAATTGAGTATGAGGATAGAACAACGCGGCCAAGCAAACGCTCTCCACCCTCCCTCGACGGTTCTTTGGATGTCTCAGTAGCGGCATCCGTTTGCACAGTATCACTGATGGATTGTGCATACCCGGTGCCTCTGAAGCAATTATGTAAAGTGGTGTCTGTGGCGTTTTACTCAACCGCTGGTATATGCGTTACGTATCATGTGTTATTCCTTGTGGATGCAGTTCTTTAACAAAGCAGGAGCTTGGAGTGGTGTTTTGAGTTATCTTCTTGAAGACCACAAGCCTAATGAGTTAGCTGCCCTTGGTAGGCTAGTCGTTTAAGTAACGAAAAATGGCACACTGTTTTGGCTTACGAAGAAACCAGATTATCAGGAGCACGCCGTGGTAGGTGTGCGGTATCGAGCAGTCATCCTCTACGAAGCAGTGCGGTTTGTACACGACCGAGCTTCAGCATGCTGAATACGGTTGTACGTAAATCAATCAAAAACTAATTCAAATTGGTGCATGACTGAGCTATTGCTTCAAGGATACATGATGCACAGCCAAGAGGATGTCCGACACAACAGCACAAGCAGTCTAAGACACCAAAACAATTAGATTAAGCAAGTTTCGTTAACCCAGGAGTAAGCTGGGTGTACTGCAAACGAACTCGAGCAAATGAGACTACTCAACTGGGCAGTAAGCTGAAGGTTGTATTTCTGTGTGGGGACCTGTTGCCCACTAGGTCATCTAGCTCTGGTTTATCAATTATGTACCATGTAGGTGCATCGCAAAACCTCCCACCGATGTGGTACAGCAAACCGCACCATTTAATGCATCCATGGGTTGAATTCAGTGAAGGTTAATCGTGGTTGGCAGCACTTGTGTACACCACGACTTGACATAGTACTCGATACATTCAGAGTTGTTTCATAGGTGATTGAGTTTGCGCGTTAAAGCTTCTTAAGCAGCATTTGCTTTTGGAATGTCTAAGTTTCTGGTACAGGTTTTATTGAGCAAACTTGGCATCTCTAGACACACTCAGAGCCGTCCCACGTCCGGAAAAGCACTATACGCGCGCTTCATGCTTTCGAGGATCGTCAGTAGTGCGCCTTCCATCGGACCCTGGTAGGGCTGAAACCCGCAACTCGACTGTTGCCAGCCCATGGTTGAAAGCACTGAGCTGCGGGGGACGGAAACGACCATCGTGAATGGGTTACTGGATATGACATAGCGCCAATCACTATTCACTGACCTGCACATTACTGCTGTGCAGAGGACAGGGTAGCCCTGTCACCAAGCGACGAACTTACCAAACTTGAGCCGCCAATTAACTTATGGTATTATAAGCAGTTTGGCCTGCGTACTGATTTCCATTCAAGCCTCTCTACTACTCCTCTGTGAAACAGTAATTGTTGCCTGATTGGGCAGTATTCGTAACAGGACGGATGAGGGCTTAGTATGAGGTGAAAGCAGTTACTTACGTAAAGGGTCCAGCAGCTGGTTCTCAGCAGCTGTTTGTTCTCATCCAACCCGAGTATCTGGATCAGCTGTAGACCGTACTGAACCTTCATTTGCTGTCGGCTGTCGTTCACAGGCCGGCCAATCACACCATATTGATTGTACCGATCCAACAAGTCGCGTATTAGTTTCTTCTCTGCCGTTGTCTTCACTTTGGCATCTGTAACAGTTTGGAGAAATAGCATTTTCTCACATAGCGCACACAAATAAGTAACACAAGTATATCGCTGCTGTTGCTATATATGTGTGTGCCTATGATTTGCGTTAGAACTCTATCCCTAGCGTACGTAGTTAAAAATCCATCAAGTGATTCCTGCTTGTAATTTACTCAGCGCAAATTTGGGGGCGACAATTAATACAAGCAGTTTGACTTGGTCAAACTGTCGTGTTCAAACACTTTGCTTTGTTTTTGCCCTCGATTCGCTTATCCTACTCACACTTCTAGGTGGCACTCGTTGGCCTATCACGTGATCTTGCATTTGATTGGTTGCAATGCGAACTTCTATTGTTTTACTTGTACTGCGCGTGTGTGCGGACGGTTTCCTCCATACATATGTTCCGGTGCTGCTCTGGTCTGCTGTTTTTTTCATGATACAACACCAACCTCGTAGGTTCCTCATACGACGTACTGGTGGAGCTTTTACTTGCCTACTCATGCTTCTCTAGTTGGTGTGCATGCATGTTACTTGGAAGCGCACTTTAAAAAGGGTCAGAGCACTCCACTGGGGTATGCCGTAACCAAAACCAAATTTTCACATTTTCGGACGCGCGAAGTCCCCTCACATTCAAAGCGAGCGTCCCGATCACTTTGCTCTTTCAGCTTTGAGACGGCCGCCCGGAGAAAACGCGACAAGTGCCAATGCGTGCTTCATTACTTGTCATCAGTATGTGACACCCATAACATTGGGTTGATGACGGAGCCATAGCATAGAAGGGGGAAGTGGGAGGCGGTCCGTCTCGGATGGCAATTGGAGTGTTAATGTTCGATACCAACTATAAAGAGCAAAATATCAGGATAAGCTGAGGACTGAAGATTTAAATTTTACTCTGTATGACTAGCAACATATTTGCGCCACGTGTCACACGTGTGCAAACGTTTTTCCCAGCAATCACCTTACTTATCCCGTTGTGGTCACTTTCACAACATTTGCCTCAGTGTTCCATCCATTTCATTGAACACCAACGTGCATGTTACCCTGAGCCGATTGTATGGCCTTCATGCGCCTAATCTGCCCTCAGTCCGGGCGAAAATTTTACCACTGCCCCGGACGGCAAAAGTAGTTGCTACACCACAGCTTGGTGGCGTTGCTTAAAGCTAAGCGGGTCAGTCACTCAGCGGGAGACAGAACAGTTCCCCAAAGCTAGAAAATCCAGCTGTGCTTACAGCGTAGTACTCGTGTGTCGTGTTTTGGAGTATTTTTTAATCATTGCAAATCTGGTAGGTGTTCGCTGGCTACTTTCGAAGTTCTCATTGCTTGGCCCAACTGCCGCCTGTGTCCGCCATGTTGAATTTGTTCTACAGTACTCGGCCATCATGACCATCACACCGGTAAATCGAAACGAAGCATTTCGTGCCAATCAAACTTGTGCTAAAGTAGTAAAAGTAGGCTTGACTTGTACAAATTGTATTGACTGGTACCGTTCAAAGTGCGTCAAGGTCTGTAGAACCGACATAAAGGACTACAATACGCCGGTTTCACTTTGGTTCTGTCCGACGTGTACGACGGTTTCACTAGTCAAATACCTACCAGGGCCAGGCGTTCCCACAGCCAAGCAGTGCTAGAAACCATGGGAATCAGGAACCAACTCGTCGCCGCGACCGATAGAATCATGCCTAGCCCCACCGCCCATATCCTCTTATCTATTGTATCGATCGATGCAACATCGGTAGCACCCACGCTTCCGATTGACGAACGAAATCCGAAGCGCCCTAAAGGCCGATCCACCTATGCAACCGTTGCTTCTCGGTATAATCAAAGTGCGAGTTCATAGCCTCATCCAGTACAGCCGCAAAACGTGTCAAGGACCAAGTGCAAAGCCCTCCATAATCGTGCTTCACACATCACCGAAGTCCAGATAGAACTACGGGGTGTTGACACATACATCAACGTTCCTGAGTCCAAGGTAAACTCTTTAAGGGGTAAACAACTGGATGATTTAAAGTAATGGCATTTCCTTTTAATAGAATCGGAGTTCAATCCAGTTCGAATAATTTAATGCGCATCACCAGGCATCCAAGCTCGCTTCATTACGGGGAGTACCGGCTAATACGAGTAATATTGGGATCAATGGATGAGGTCGTGAAGGTGCATTCATCAGCATACGGCCTAGGAACTGAAAACGGTGGGCTACGCATATTTCCGGATGTTCCGCGGAGCAAAAGCCAACAGGAGGAACATAATTCAAACGACTACCAAACGAAGAGTAGAAAAAGAATTATTTTCGTTCATAGCGTGCCCGAGCTACCGATTTCCAGCAACGAGGAAGCCCACGCTCATGACTCGGAAGAATTGCGTTACATCAGTCAGGCTCCCTGTGCGGGAGACGTCATACTTCTGTCGATTACGTGGTTACCTGTTTCGTCAAACTACAGAGGCAGTGGGCCGAGTATACTGAAACTAATGGTGCAGTCACAACAGATGGCCGTGAACTTAATCCATAGGTGACAGTTACTACACAACACACTCCCTTCGGAACTACGACTTAACCCTTTGTGTCCTGGTGGTAGTTACAAGTACCATTTTGTTTACATTATGACACTGATTCACTGGGTGTATTTCTGCTGGTACTCGCGAGTATACGTAAAAGGGTCTTCTGTCAACAATTGAGTAAGGGCCAGAACTCCAAAACTTTGCTCCACGGTGTGTGGAGTAAACTGTTATAGTTCATATGGAGCTATAGTCAAATTAATTCAGGACTCAAAGGGTTAAGACGAAAGTTAGAGAGCCGCAGCCACTCGTTGTTCTCGCGGCAACGACACCACTCGCTACTCAATATAACAACAACAGCGATTCAGAAACCAGTGCGCTAAGACCCGTAGCTATGGAGAAGGCTGACGAAGTAGGCGCAAGTGATAACAAAAACAGATTGCATTCCTATCGAGATTTGGCAATTCAACCAAAAAACGATTAGGTGCAGGCCTCTCCCCGGTCGACGTAATTCCACATCATCCAAGTGCTTCTAGTCAGTAGCTTTTACTATCCGAGAAGCTTTCCTTTATGTGCACCAACGAACAGGGCTTACTGAGTAAACTTTCCGAAATGCGGCTACGTCAAAGATCAAAAGCCTGTGACCTTATCGCTGCAACGGAGACATGGTTACACCCTAACCTAAGTGACATGGAGATCGCACTGCCAGAGACATGTCCATTGTTCGGCACGACCGACCCAGCTGAGGTCGGGGCATGGCTATGTACTTCCGCAACGACAATATGAGCTCATAGAAGATCCAGTCATCACGGTGCAAGATTCCCTTTGGCTCTAGAAATGAAGACTGGTAGCTCAGAGCGTTCAGATTGCAGTTGATATGTTCCCTGAGCTTGGCTATTGGGTTGTAAACGTCTAGTCACTAATCGAGGTGATATCATTAGTCCGTTGTTGAGTAGCTTGTAGCCAGTAGCGTAGCTTAAAGAAGCCTCGGTGAGAGTGCGTTAGGATTACTGAGTGTACACTTTTATACGTTCTTGTGTTTGGTCGCGGAGACGAACAATCCTATGACCTGGGACGTCTGTCTGTGTTCAACTTGTTGGACAAGAAGTTGGCCATTGACCTTGACCCATCTGGCTTGTGCATTGTGATCTTGGCGTGGTTACGCCAGTGCTCAACTATCTCATCCGCCACCTGGTTACTGCAGTGCTTAACTATCTCGTCCGCCGCGTTTGTCTGACTTTCTGATCTACCGGATTTAACTGATTGGGGTGGCGCTCCCTTGACCTGTGTCGAGTTCCCTGTGTCGGTTAATTGAATTAACTGTGGAGTGCATGATTTCAGAAATTCCATCGCATGTTTTGTACTCACACGCGCCAGAATCTTCACATTTTCCAGATCGAAGTGGTGGTCTTCTTGATCTCCATGTGCGGAAACCAGCGGATTCGGATCATGTCTTCTCATGGCAGTCTTGTGCTCGGTGATTCGTGTACGAAGCTTTCTTCCAGTTTGTACAACCTAGTTCTTGTCACATTCGCTGTATTTTATCTGGTAGCTAACATTGTTTTGGTTGCTCTGTTCGACTTTATCCTTAGGCTTGGAAAGCAGTTTCCTTAAGGTGACACTTGTTTTGTGAGCCACCGAAATTCCATGTGACTGTAGTAACCTTCCTGTCAGTTCAGAAACGTTCTTGATGTACGGGAGCACTATTCGTTTGTTTGCCTGCTCTCCTGACTGCTGTTATTGCTGCAACGTTCGTTTCGTTAAGCTTCTTCTGATAAAGTTTCTCAGATAACCGTTGTTTTGAAATACCCGGTATAGGTGCTTTTTCTTCTAAGCTTTTCAATTCATTTGTACTGCAGTGTATTTCCGGTCTTTTGAATAGGCTTTGGATGCAGCTCGTTTATGGTCCATTATCTGGTTGCTGTGATAGTTTAGTATCTGATCGGTATGCGTATTTTTCCGATATACGTATGTATGCAGTGTCCTGTCGGTATTCCTGTTGACCAGTACATCCAAAAATGGCAACACGTCACTCTCTAGTTCAACTGTAAATTTGATATAATCGAATGTGTTGTTGAGCAACTCGTGCGTCGTCTGTACTCTGTTTCTTTCGTGATGACAAATGTGTCGTCCACATATCGGATCCAAAGCTTTGGACTGATGGATGGCCGTGCAATGCGCTCCAATTTCTGCACCACGGCTTCGGCAATCAGTCCAAATATTGAGAATTCCATTGGCGTTCCTTTCAGCTGCTGGTATACCTGTCCGTAAAAGCGGAAATAAGTTGTCATGCAGAGGTCCAAAACTTCCCGGAAACTCCCCAGTTGTATGGTTGTCGTTACGCTTGGTTGATTCTGTAGTAGCTTCATCATGGTTTCTTTACTCAGTTCGTGACTGATCGAAGTGAAGAGTGCAGTGATGTCAGATGAGATCATAGTTTCGTCGTCTTGTATCTTTATGCCCCGCAGTCTGTTGAGGAATGATGCTATGTTCACATCCGGCAATCTGGTGT